AAAAAAAATTTTTTTTGATAATTTTTTGTATAAAAGTACAAAGTGTCAGGAATATTTTCTCAAAGTTTCAAGTCGATCGAGAGGAAACTGCAGAAATTTGAGAGTCTTATAACCCGCCGACTTTGTCATGGCTTGACCGAAAGCGTTGACTTTAAACGCTTTTTGTTAAAACCACACTATCGAAATCGGTAGTCAAAATTTCTCAACGACAATGGAAGTGATCGAGTTCCAATTTTCCACAATTATTTTAAACATGTTTTGTAGTCCCTGGACGAAGGATTTATTTTAGCTTTGATTTCAACTCATTTTACAAGCCAATATGTGGCCTAATTTTTTGTAAAAAACGCTACAATAAATTCAATTTTTAATTTTTTTTTATTTTTATTCGTTCAGGAACAAACAAAATTCGCCTACTTTAAGAAAAACTTCGGATTTTTGATTTCAGATAGAAATTGAAAAAGTTATCATGACTACCGCGAAAGCACTTTCTCGTGGACGGTCTACTTCACGACACTGTCAACGCCTTAACTTATAATATTTTTCATTCAAATTTTTATCAAACGTTGTCCACATACTGTAGTTTTATATGTAAATATTGTAAAATAAATTGTATACTTTATTTAGTATCTTTTAAAAAAATTATAGAAAATAAGCTTTATTTTTGCCTTCAAGACCCACATAAGTAACCCCTTAAATGAAATAACAATATTTTGTTGATATCGCGAACAACTTATAAATATTTGTCGCTCAGTTAGCAATTTGTCGAGAAGTTTACGACAACAGCGAAAGCGAATATCATTAAACTATTCTTAGAGAATAGCGAATATCGTTAAAATTACCGCTAAGTCAATTTAACGAACCGAAAATCGTTATATTACGATAGAAAATTCCCTTACAGATCCGACCACTATATCATATGATCGACCGAATTTCAAGAATATAAAAGTATGAGAATTACTATAATAAATTTGTTATGTTCATGGAAGGTATAACATTTCAGCATGACCGAACTTAATTTCTTTCTTTTTTTACTATTTATTTTTATAAATATTGTATTTATTTTAATTGTATTAAATTTTTTGTTCCCAATATATTATTGTACATATTTTTGCCATAATATTTTTGTCTCACAGAGATTTCATTTTTCTCTTCAATCAGGGAAGAGCTAACATTAAATGCATACAGATATCTGATATTTCAAACTTTCAAATTTTCAATTTGCTCATAAAATTCCCAATTAGAGTGATACTAACTGAGATTTAGAAAAAAAACATCGAGGGTTTTCTTAATGAAAATTTTTCTTTCCGCATACATTCGTTAATCCTATAAATCAGCTTTTGGGGGCATACTCCCATGAGAAGAAAGATGGAATAAAGTATCAAAATATGTAAAATATATTCAAAGGTCTATATGCAGTAAATCAGTGCGTGAGGAAGGCAAGAGTTTGTCGTTAGTGGTTCCAAGAAGGCTGTGAAGTCATTGAAGATGGCGAACGCTCGGGAAACCATAGCACATGTACAATAGAAACGATGAAAATGTGAAAAAACGTGTAAGAAATGCTATGAAAGACATTCGAACCATAAATAGAAAATGCAGAATCACTAATTCATATCAGGTGTCGAGATATAGGTTTGTTGATATGACTTCGAAACTGAACATCTTTCTTTGGTCCGTTTCTTTTGGCAGACGAAAATCGCTGGGTTTATATTATATAACCTTGTCTTAGGAACTGTCAAAAATTAAGTTAACAGCGAAATCAACTGAAAGTTCTTTCACACTTCAGAGGCATGTACACGAACATTAACAATATTTTGAAAATTGGCTTCTCGAAGCATAATTATTTTTTAATATACTCTGTACTTGCGACATTCGAAAACTTTGATCCCAATGTTTGCGACAATATTTTTCTTTTTGCTTGGTGTACCTAATTAAGTGGGAACTTGGATGAGCGCCGAAAGATATTAAATGGTATTATGTTTTAGCTCATTAATGTTCAGGAAAGTACCGGACGATCGTCCAATCTTTCAAGTCCGATAAAAGCTCCTCAGGAAAATCTGTCGGCCGTTCGGAGGAGCCTTGGAATTAATTGTAAGTCTCTCCATTTGTTAGACGAACAACAATCAAGACGCACACCAGAAATGCGGAGAAGAGCTCGGCCGAAAATCGTTTCAGCTGTTACAAAGCTCCAATTATATATGATAGTTTGTTCATATGTCCTTGATTCGCTTATCACTTTGAAGTAACACCTTCTGACAGGAGTAACTCTGCGCATAATTTTAAGATTTAGTTTGTTATTGTGGTTAGCGCAAGATTTTTGAAATAATCTATTACATCGAAAGTTCTGAACTACGATATTACTCTGACGTACATTGCTCCCATAACGAGACCGCAAATACTCAAGACCAAAACAAAAGCTTAGGTTCAAATTTTTTATTTGACAAATTTAAGACCCAAAATTGATGATTGATTGATTGAAGAATACAATGAGTAGAACTTTAAAATTCGATTGATCTGAGCGCCGGTCTGGATATTGCCGGTCTTGGGCTATTTCGTTGGGATAATTGGTCTTTAATCTCGGTATTTATATGGATAATTGGAGCTCCTCCTCCAATTTGTGGGTTTGCGTCTTGATGTTTTTCTAACAAATGGAGGGACCTACAGTTTATACTAAGCCGTCTCCGCACGGCTGATGGTTTTTTTATGAGGAGCTTTATTTCGGTGCTTACTGACAAAAGCCTCCGAGTGTACAAGGTGTGATCGGAAAACAACCTTTACTTTAAATTTTTTCTAAAAGTATTTATTTATTCATCAATAATTATCTTGTCTCCTTCAAAGTAATCCCCCTCAGATGCAACATACTTATACCAGGATTTTTTCCATTCCTCGAAACAATTCTGAAACTAGTTTTTTGGTATTTTGGGAAAAGGAAAAAGTCTGCGGAGGCCAAGTCCGGTGAATACGGTGGTTCAGGCATGATAACGGTTTTGTTTTTGACCAAAAACTCACTTACAAGCATCGATATGTAAGCTGGTGCGTTATCATGTTGCAAAATCCTTGATTGTTTTCTCCACAATTTTGTGCGTTTCTGACGAATTGCTACGCGCAAACGGCGGATAACTTCTGGGCAGTATTCCTTAATGACCGTACGACCTTGTTGACCGTACTTGACGTGCCTTTTTCGGTCCACTTCTGGACGCTTCCATTGGGATGATTGGGCTCATCACTGCTTCAATGTTTTCCTCGGTTGTTGACGTGCTCATTCGACCAGGGCGAGCATTGTCATTGACATCTTCCCGGCCTTCCTCAAACTGGTTATACCACAATTGAACTTGAGGTCTGCTCATAGTAGACTCGGCCAACGCAGTACAGTAAAAATTTCAAATATCCTTGCGCATTTAATTTCATTTCTTTAACAAAATTTAATGTTGTACAAGAGCACACCAACACACGACTCTGTCAAAAACAAACCGACAACCCAAAATGGCTGATATTGCCAGCATTTATAACAGACATATGTATGTACCAACAAAAAAGAAAAGAAAAAAGCGAAAATCGAACATAGGTAACTCACGAAATTTGAAAATAACGGTTATTTTCTGATCACACCTCGTACATGTTGGATTCTATGTAGATGAACCAGACCTTGCCCATATTCAATCGAGGACTAGTGCGTAGCCGTGCATGTTACGAGCCAAAGTGTCATAGATTCGAGTCCTAGACAGACCAAATTACGAAAAAGGGGAAGTTTCTCAACTGCAAATACCTCCGAGTGTGTATAAGAAATAAAGACTTTGTAACGTGAGTTCTGCTCGATCCAGGATCTACCTCTTTAAGAAAAATATAAGCATTTCGTAATGAAAACACCATGGAAGTTATTTGTTTAAGCAAGGGCGAAGACAACATCTTAGCGGGAAAATCACTTGTGTCGCCGTCTGTGGTCGGAAGATAACTTAATTATATAAACTTGCACGGAACGTTTGCGTCGAACCAAAGTGTCAAATATAATGATAACGATCAATTAATTAAATAGTAGTGCCAATGGATGAGAAATTAGAATAAGAACGAATTGTAAGCAGGAGTAGTTATAACTAGCTTAGAATACGAAAACTGTAGAAATAAGGAGTAAGGGTAAGGCCGAATCCGTCTCGAAGCTACAAGGCTAATAAATAAAACGGAGAAGGCAGTCGATCCTTAGGAAAATAAAAGAGACCAACTCTGCCTGGAAGCTGAAATACTTTTCAAGAACAGAGGTGGCGATAGAAATACGGAAGGAGCAAAGAGCCTTGAGAGCAAAGAAGGCTAAAATCGAGATTAGCTACAAAACTACCAGTTACTAGTGACTTTACCCCCACTTCATCAGCCAACCGCAAAATGAGCTTGCTATGAACAATGCGCCGATTAGATAGCTTCTGCTGAGGGTTATGTGTTACCAAATGTTAGTCGTAGCGGAGTAATGGAAGACTGTGTAGTAGATAGTGATAGTTAGTAGTGGGGTATTATTAGCGGAAAAGGACTAAGTACTCGGTAGCCCTGGTAGCTGTGTGGTTAGCAGTACTTTCTGTATTCGGAAGGCCAAGGTTCGAGTGCTGGTCTAACCAATATCCAAAATATTATGGTCGCCCCTCCGAGTGTATTTTGTATTGACATGAAACAAAGCCTCCACATAAAACAACCGTCAGTCGTTCGGAGGCGACTTAGTATCTGCTGAAGCTACCTCCATTTGTTGAAGTAATATACTTTACTATATGGAATGCGAAGTATAGTTAGGGTCATCGGTCAATCAGTCACACCAGTTATGATACGACGAACGATTTGTTGTACGAACTACCTACCTACCTACCTAGTGTATGTATGTTTGGAAAATATGAAGGGTGTTAGAGTCTAATGGTTGTTGTTGGTAGATTTTGTTGTGAATAAGAGAAGTGTATTTTTAAATTCACTCCAAAACTAAAGCTCTTTTTATTATGCTTCCAGCCACATTTAATAAAGAAAAACGAAAAATGTTGAGCGAAGAATACGCGGAATGTAGAGTTCTACCCGCCATCAATGAAACATTTCCACAATTCGGCCGATCAATTGCAACACTGCTCTCGCCACTTGACTTATCACTACGCGCCACCAATCTAATACCGATTACACCTCCCTCAACACCCTCGCCACCACGAAAGCGTCAGAGATTAATGTCAGACGAGAATTACCTTTGGCGACCGCATGCCATGGGCTCAAACCAACTAACATCCTTGACAGCGTTGCCACCAGCAACTACTAGATCCGCATTAACCGAGGCAGCTACAGCTGCTAGCCTACACACTGGCAGCAATTACCTTCCACAATTACCCTTCAACTATGACAGACGACACGATGAATTGGCGACGCATCACACAGTAGCGTCCGGCGGATATAAAAACAATTTACACGACATAAGAAACAGCTTTGAAGAAATTCCAGAAAGTCAAGTAACCGCAATGGCACCCACACCAAACTCGGGAACAGCACTTCAGCCACTTCAGCAACAACAACATTCGCCTTCGCCACAACAAAGCCAATTGCCCATTATATGCGTGGACGATGAAACGATTGTGCTGACCGAAGATGAGGATGAGGAGGAGGAGGAGGAGGATGAGGAGGAGAATGAAACACTTGTCAGTTCACACGACTACACCGAAGAAGTGGACGATGTAGACGATGACGAAGATGCCGATGAAGAGGCGGCGATGACTTTGGCGGTGGGAGGAAGCGCAAACTACAGGCCAGCAATGTACATAGATGTTAGTAGTAGTGAAAGCAAGCGTGAGGCTGGTGTAGAAAGCGGCGGAGTTGAGGCAGTTAATGATGATGAAGAAGAATATGTAGACATCTTGAGCAACGACGACGATGACTTAAATCCGCTCAGCGGCGGCAATTTAACACAGCGTCTACAGTGTCAAGCATTGGAGGAGGAGATTGAGAAGACCGGCAAAGCCTTGACACGTAACAAATTGGTCTACGACAATGAAGAGCTACACCATCGCGCCGTCGACGGACTGGCGAAATTATTCGAGAGAGATTTTCTCGTGCCTGCGCAGGCAGGTGAGGCACGAGGTAATAATTTAGTGATAAGTCAACAGCAGCAAGTCCCTCATGTGAGCGTGAGCGAGGACAACAGTCGAGCGGCACATGTGGAGAAGTTAACAATGAAAGATAGCAGATTTGGGCGACCACATCAGCAACGTGCACACAAATCGGAGCGAAAGCGCATGAAGATGCGAAAGCATCACCACGCACACGACGAGGAAACCATCAGCCCCGTCTCCGGCACCATAATAACGAAATTACGCGACGACGAGGAGCTGGTGGTGCGTAAAGGCGACATTGATCCGGCTTTCAATGTGGTCGAAATCACCGAAGAGGCTAAGGCGATTTTGGCCAGTATCGACAACAAAATCGGAGCTTACTTATGTCAGCTCTGTCGCACACTGTATGACGATGCATTCCAGCTGGCACAACATCGATGTCCGCGCATTGTGCACATCGAATACAAGTGTTCCGAGTGCGAAAAGGTGCGTGAAAAGCTTGAAGACGACAATGATGAGAAACGCTGGCAAACTCTTTAAATTATTTGATTCCTTTTCCTTGTTTAGGTTTTCAATTGTCCGGCTAATTTGGCCTCACATCGTCGTTGGCATAAACCAAAGTCGGAACTGTTGGCGGGCAGTGGACAAAGCAAAAAGCGACACATGAGCATGACGACGACTGCTGCTGGTTTTGGGCATGAGAAGAATAAAGCCGCCGACGAGGAAGTAGAGGGCGTTTATCCTTGTGCCCAGTGTGGCAAACATTTTCGGCGGTGAGTACAGAAAAATACCCTTACTGAAAATGTCGAAATTATTTACACGGCTAAAATTCTATGGTTCAATAACAAATTTTTGGTTAAAAAATATAAATTTCGTTAAGTGGAAAGATAAGAAAAATAATAATAAATAAATAAATTTGTTTGCCTTTTTTCCAGCCATGCTTACTTGAAAAAACACCAAGCTTCCCATCAGATGTTAGAGAATCTCAAATCGTTGGATATTTTCAAAAGCTCCACATCTCTTCCAAACCCAAATTCTATGCCGCAACCGAAAGCTTACTACCCTCTCCCCAACCTTTCGCCAAGCACTGCACCGCGTGCTCCCTACACACATACCCCCCACTTCAACGCACACAACCATCAACACGCACACACCATCAAACCTTATCCCCAACGATTCAATGCCTTTCCCTTTCCCACCCTGGATCAACGACGTTTCTACTCTTTGGGAGAGCTTTATCTCTCCCAGCACTTGGATCAGGCTTCTGCATTCCAATACGTGCACGCCAATCATTTGCGCAACCTAACAGCTGCCGCGAGTACCTTTGCACCACGCCCTCCCCATGCACCACCCTCCAATGCCGCGCTTACGGCTAAATGACCCAGTATTGTGCGACCCGTGCCACGCATCGCACTCGGTACGACTGTTACGACAACAACAACGCTGAGTAGAGAATTAACACAGTTGCCGATCGGTGCCGTGGGACCAGCGTCCAGTGCTCATAACGCGGCCTTAATGGGCAACAGACATCATCACTTCAGTTGGTTGACAGCACCGTCGGCGGCAGCAGCACATGAAGCAGCGGCGGCGGCGTCGTCGTCGTCGTCGTCCTCGTCGTCAGCGACACCAACAGCAGCGAACACAACAGTATTGTCGGCCTTTGGTGCAAATATTTAAAGTTTTTCTGCATAAGTGAGTGTTGATTATAACAGTAAAGGTGTAGTTAGTTATGAATTTCAAATTTATTCCTTAGCTAAATAATATATTTACTGTAATTGCAAATTATTGACATTTTGCATTAATAAAATCTTAAAATATATATAAATGTTCTCTATATACAAAACAAGTTTGTATGTATATATATACTGGTGTACATATATATATTTCTTCAATTAGAAACTATTTATTTAGGTTTTCCTTTGGCTGCGGTATCCGATTTGAAATGACCCATTTGCAGCGCATAAGACAAGACGTATGACATGTAAGTCTCCTCGTGGACTCCGTGGAGAAGGTAAGAACGTGGTCCTGTAAAGATAAAAACTTATAAAAACTACTGATACCGACAGAAAAAAGCGCGAATGCATAAAAAAATAGTTTGAAAATCTAAGAGAAGGTAAGGCGCTGCGGTTAGTGTTTCAAGTCAGTTTCATAATCCCATGGGTATCAGTAGGTTGTTAGGACGACTCAAAGTATATTTTGTAAACTTTTCCTGCCTGCTTAACTTCAGCGCCAAGGAAAACCTTTGGAACGACTGACGTTCAGTCGTATAGCAAGCATCCCCTGGCCTTACCTGATAATTTGTGTAACACGCAGGCACCGGCTATCAAGGAACTGATCGAATCTTATAAGTGTGGCTTCGGTATTAAAAAGTTCCCATTGACTAAATACTCTAATTCAACATGCACAAACTATTAAGCAGTCTTCGTCTCTAAGCCTCTATGTTCGAACGGTTCGGAATCAATTGAGTTTTCAGACATAGAGATTGATTGAGGCCAATTATCCTCAGCGAAGGCGCCGTTAGCTTTGTTTTCTCCAGATTACGAGTAGATCAAACATGGTGGTGAAGAGCTGACAAAGCGCGTGCATCAGCTAGTTTGCAGAATATGGTCAGACGAAATCTTGACTGATGATTGGAATTTAAGTGTGCACTGTCCTATCCATAAAAAAGGGGACCCCACAGTTTTGCATGTATTGCAAATCGAGCGTGTTGTGTGAACAAACTGGTTGGATCTTAACAGTGTGGCTTTAGATCTGTTAAGTCAACCATTGACCAGATATTTACCATATGCGCAATATTGGAAAAGACCCGTGAAAAGAGGATCGATACACACTATAACTTTGGCGACTTTAAAGCAGCCTCCGACAATAGGAAAAACTTATACGGTTGTGTAAGCTGACGTTAAGCAACACTATAAGCTCTACCATGATGGGAAAGAACCTCTCCGAACCGCTCGGTGCCAAATGAGGTTTCAGACAAATTGAGAAAATAAAAAGAGCACCAGAGCTAAATAGACCAGGTAGAATCTTTTACAAGAGTGTAGAGCTACTCTTGCTACTCTACTTTGAACTCAGCAGGCAATTGAAAAGTCAAGTCCTTTCTCGACGAACAAAAGCCAAACTCTACAAGTCGCTCATAATACCCGTCCTACAATATGGCGCAGAAGTGCCAACGTCAAAAAGAAGAAGAAAACCAGTAAATAAGAAAGCGAAGCGGCGCTAACATTTCGGCACTCAAGTTACGTTGAAGTTGCGAATTAAATCGTCTATGCAGGAAACAATATTAATACCAACAATACAGTTCTATCCCTATAATGAGGTTGAAAGAAGACAGAATCCGATGAGATGTCAATAGGTTAAGTAAGCTTGGGTTACAGTGGCTGGTTGTTATGCCTATCATAGACCTGTTGGTTCTTTGCGGTGCCAGAAGGAGCTTCAATTTGATCTTACATGGCCAACGCTGTTTGGGAAGTTAGAAGTCTTGATATCGAGTTTCGACACTTCTTTAATTCCTTTGTACTGCGAGTCTTCTAGATATCTTGAACGAGTTTTAGATACGTCTAGACAGAAGCAGAGGAAGTGTTCCTACGTCTCCCTCATGTCTTTCTTTCTGCACTGCCGACATATTTATAACTGCTGCTAATGCCCACTCTACTACCGAGAGATGCATTAATTTTGGATCATATAATAGTAAAGAATTTAACACGGAATCTGGCTCAAGAGTTTACAATTAGTTATTGGCATAAAGTAACGTAATGCCTTATTAAACTCTTAACTTAAGAAATTGAGTATTTAGTGACAAGATAAACTGGTTCTTTTTCGGACAAAACGACTCGTGTCCGTACGAATTTGGTACAAAAACTGGGCACCATCTGATGCGGTCTCGCTTCGCTCATTGAGCTGGTGATTGTTTGGCAGAAGACGAGCCAAAGGAACACAAACTGCGGCTCACACGTAGCCATGAAAAAGCTAAAGCATCCTCAACCAGTGGTTATTTTGTGCGACATATAGTGCGGCGACATCATTGGTTCTTTTTTCTCCGAAAACAAGGTTGCTGTCAATACGGATCGTTACCATGCCGTGTTCAGAGATAACTTCTTACCGAATGGTGAAGAGAATGACGTTAGCGTGTGTGTGGCTTCATAAGGCGGCGCTAGAAACGGCGATATCAACTGACTACCTCGCAGCTGTGCTTTGACTCCGTTACAATTTTTTTGAGGATCTATTAATGAGAAGTACTACATCAGAAATTCGGCAACGATTCATGACTTGTAACGAAATTGAGGCGATTTTCCGCCGAGTTCCTCCTCCAATTTGTGGTTTTTGCGTCTTGATGTCTTTCCAACAAATAGAGGGGCCTACAGTTTATACTAAACCGCCTCTGAGCGGCGGATGGTTTTTTAGGAGGTGACTTTATTTCATGCCAGAGTGTATTACTCGGAGGAGTGGACATTCCCTGCCGAGGGCGACCGCAATAAGAAAATGTAGCTTAGTTTTCTATTTAAATTAATTTTCTACAGTTATTGGATGTTGGTCGCACGGAGATTCGAACCCGAGCCTTCCAATTGGCAGTACGCAATGCTAACCACTCGGCCACCGCGGTATAGAGAAAATTTGTATTTTACTTATAAGGAAGTTTGTTTTAGGCATTTGGATATGAAGATTAGATAAACGGCAAAATTTCAGGTTATGGCCAAGAAACTCAGGGTTTAAGAGTTTTCCATTATTTTTTAAAAATCACTCCGGGCAAGTGACCGTAGCGGCTGGCTCGATTAAATTCCAACTGAGAGGCCACTTTTTGCAGCGATTGGGGTCGTACGTCAGCAATAACGAGCCAAATAATATCTGCCATAACTTCAATCGTTTCATGCTAATCTAAATAGACAAGCGAATTCACAAAAAATAGTTCTGTGGCGTTAAATTGCACAGTCTTGAAGGTCACACCGCAGGCACATAACACGTGATTATGAGGGTCACCAAAAGTGTCCTCTAACAAATTGATTGTTTCGTTGGCTCTATGGCATCGAAGCCCGTCTTATTAGAACTCAAGGTCGACCACAGCAACACCCTGCTATTCTGGCTCGAAAAAGTCATTTTTCGAGGCTCTGTAGCTGCATCATATTTGATCACATAAGGGCCAATGATTACCTATGACTATAAATCACGCCAAACAGTGGCTTTTTAATTATTTAACGCCGCATCAATAATGTCATTCAAACAAAAGTGAGCTTTAACACTGAACAAAATCTCTTCGTGAAAACCGGGGGCGGCAGCCACCTCCGTTTCAGCAAACGTGCGAAGTTCTTGATTGACGTTCAGCTTCAATTCTTGCATGAGTTGATTTTGTAAGCTTAAAAACCTAGGCACTTTCGAAAATCTTCCATAGAGTGGATGGTTACAGCCCCATTTATTGTGCGCGATGACGAACACACACTTTTCGGCGTGTCTGAGAATGCGCACTATCGACTAGAGTAAATGTGGTGCTAAGCCGATCCATGGTTACTCGTAATATCGACTCTGCTGGGCGAGTACATCGGCGGAATAAGACGCGCCATGCGAAAAAAACCATAATTTTTGTTAATAAATTTGTGCGATTCACAATTGTTGTCCCATAGTAAGTCTGTTAATTATGATATGGCAAATCTACTTAGCCCGATTTAATCAAAGACCAATTCCGAAACAAATATGTGTCCCTTTGAAAACCACACGTCTAAAAAAACATCAATTATTTACTCCGACAAAAATACATACCTCTCGCATAAATTAAAGCTTCCGTTGCCATATTTGATAACCACTCTTCAATCGCTGGAGCGCTCCCTTCGGTAAAGTCAAAAACATTGGTCTCAGCATCTGTCTCTGCGCTGCTTTCCACAGCATCGCGCACATAGTTTCCATTAGTGAACAGCACCAAGGCCAAGGTGTCGTCCTCACTTATGAAGAGAAGAAAACATAAACAATTGAAGAATCAAGAATGACAAAATTAAGGTAAATCCGGATGGTCACATGGTGCAATGGATGATGGGTGGATGGATCCACACACTGACAAATGAACGAATGGACGCAGGCACGAATTGTTAGACTAATGGAGAAATTAACGAATGGGCGAACGAGCGGCTAAATGAAATCGTCTCTCGTTCAATGAAGTTCAATTTTGTTACCTGATTTTCGCCACAGTCTGTTGCACAACGTCACTTAAGTGCGAAAGCATATCCGTTTGCTCAGCAACACTCGCCGTGGATTTGACGCCAGTTTCTACAATCAGCAGATAACCATTACTTTGACGTTTCAAAACCTGTAAAGCTTTCATTGTCATATCGGCGAGCTTTGGTGATTGTCGTCGTTGATCACTTTGACTCTTCCGCTGTGGCAGATAATTATTTGCGAAAATACCCATGATGTGATTCACATTAGTGCCATTCAACTCTCGCAGATCATCTTGATTTTGCAATACCGCAAATTTTCGCCTCAATTTCACATTGAGCAACTGCCAATCGCTTATCAAATTTCGTTTATCCTGCGAATTACACACTGACTCATCAACAGGATCATGCGCCGAATTTGGCACATCCGAAACGAGCGTTTGCCGACCGCCACCCATAATCACATTTACATTACGTCCCGTGCGACTTTCGATTAGTTGACGCGCTGTGTCTGTACAACCCGCAGCGGCGGCTGCTAAGGGCAACGCAGTATCGCACTCCCATGCCGTGTTGGGTGTACGCGCATAGAGCGCTGCCATCCCGGCGCTAGTTACGCGTCGCGTAGTCACGAGGCCAGTACGCAAACCAATCTCCTGGGCCTGTTCGAGGAGACTTTTTACATGATGACTTTCGTTTAACGCCGCCACGCAGTCACGAAATGATACGCTAGAGTCGAGACCACCGACACGAAAACGAGGCCGCACGCCGTTGAGTATGGCGCTGGCAACGGTGAAAGGATCACATAGATCGGTGTTGCTACAACTATTCTGGAAAAATTAAATTTCAAATTAGTATTCGCGTAGGAAACATGTAGTAGCTCCCTCAATTAACAGTCCTCAGCTTTTCTCACTCACCTTTAATCTCCCAATATGTGGAAAACGCTCCCAGCTCAACGCTGGTTGTGGCTTTGTGCCGTTCGCCAGCAAAGCACGTGCCGCCGCCATTGTTTCCGTATCAATACCACTCGTCACAAAGACGATTGCATTTCGCGCCGGTTGTAAGCGCCAGTTCTTATTTAGCGCCGCTTTTAACTCCTTAATAGCTTCATCGAACCATAGTTGCTGCTCCGGTGGCAGTCCATCCCTCCAATATGATATATCTTCTATACTAGAGACTTCACTGTCCACCTCGTAACGCATTAGAAACCCTATGCACATCACCGTGATTACCATAGAGAGCAGTATGGTGCTGGCCAATGTGAATATACGCACAGTGTTGAGTCGAAGAGCTTTAATCTTTGGTACTGCCTTAGTCTGCTCCATATTCCGTTGTTTAGGTCTAAACTTGTTTGATTTGCAAGCGATGTGATACTAAATTCCGAATTTCCTCAGAGCGCGTTATGGCACTTTAGCGGTGTAGGAATTTATTTCACTTTTTCCCAATCTGTAAAGATAAATAAGATAAAATAGATGGTATGCATATAAATTAGACCGTAGAGATATCGTAAAGTAAATGGAGTAGATGAATGAATTGCATATTATACAAATAGCTCATTAAGGGTGTGACTATTGGGGCGCCAGTCAAGGTTTTTGGATAAATAGATTTTTATGTTTATATTCGATTATCGCTAAAAGTATGCTATGGGTGAACCACGTTCCAAATTGGGAAGATTATACACCCCACTACTTAAGTAATGATTCGACCTCCTTCATCTTCAGCGATCATTCGCTTATTGAGTTGACGTCCACTTGTTTAGGGGCGAACTAAACCGAGGAGCTCATTTGTTCCTTGTATTGATACTAAAAATAAGGCCTTTCATGTATGCTCATCGGTTAAGCTGTTCCCACAAGTTCTTTCCACATGAATAAGAGACATTTCCAGAGTTTAATTTGCCAGTTTCAAAGAGCCAGTTCCTTTGCCAAATTTAAGGCTAGATCTTGAGACATAATGATCTAAATATTCAGGACTGAAGTTGAGTGTTCAGAACCCACTATAACTAAGCATCAACATCGCCTTAGCCCACCATCTATGGCGCCTCTTACCTGAAACTCGTATAGCCTCAGCGCCAGCATTTTTTCCAAAGCTTCAGATTTTTTACAATAAAAATCAAAACACTCTATACTCACATATCGACCAGCACAGTCAATTGTTTAGAAAAAATTTTTTATCTAGTTCGAGAGATTAGAGAGTTTCTTAAAGACGTTTACGTCGAAGTTAGTTTATAATGTTTACAATGATAAAGACGAGCAAGAGATAATAATTTTATAATTTCATTTCATTTGTTGTCATGATTTTGTTTATGAGCACAATCATAATATTATTTATTTGTGCGATGTGGGTAAGGGTCTTTGTTAACTTGGGATATTTTTGGTAAATTACAACAGCGATCCACTTCCACCACCCTGGTAAGCCGAAATTCTTTACTAGATCCTGACGAACCTAGATAAGGAACAAATCTAACCATGGAAGCCGTTGAAAGACGAATTGACCTACATCCTCCTAGTACTGCATAGCCAAATTGCAGGGTTACATCAAGAGCTAATACAATAATAAAATATTTGTGATAGTGTCTCATGAAAACTCAAATCCTAATTTAATCCCATTCAATTATCCCATAAACAAATTTTTAACACCAGTCCACATATTTTCGATTCGGCTCCTACGTCTCTGTTGACAGTCATAACTCTGAAGTTGCATATAAACTCGTTTATCTTGAAACCAGCATTAGCATCAATAATTATCTTAGCTTTGAAATCCAACGCAGAATAGTCTTGCCGACAGTTGCTACTTTGGGCTGAGTAGGCAATTGAATAGCAACGTTATCTCGACGAAAAAAGGCCATCAATACAAGTCGCTCACCATTCCCGTCCTGCTATATTGTGCGGAATCATGAATTGAGCTTTCGAGAGAAAGGTTTTGCATAAGATTTATGGTCCTTTGCGCATTGGCAAAGAAGAATATCGCAGACGATGAAACGAAGAGCTGTACGAGATATAAGGCAGCAGTTTAACGAATCAAAAGACAGCGGTTACGCTGGCTAGGTCCTGAGGTCGGTATCGATAGGAATTCTTTAGTTTTGAAAGTTTTCGATGCAGTACCCGCCGTAGAAATACCTCTACTCCATTGGAAAACCAGGTGGATAAGAACATTTCTCCTGAATTTACATACGAGGTGTGACAAGTAAGTAATGAGACTGATTATATTGCCGCGATTATGATAACCCTGCCACTTTGAAATTCCATTTTCCTTCCCCTAGCATCTTTCTCCTCTTATTTGATATATCTGAAATCGCTCTAGCTTGTTTAATTCGCCTGCTGTGTTGTGTTAAGTGAACGTGTGCTCGTCACGAAAATGGAAAAACGAAATCAAGAGCAACGCGTAGCCTTACAATTTTGCGCTGCTTGATCGAGTTATTACAGGCGCCAAATCTCACAATGATTGTCTCCGCACGCCCTCCGTCCGAAAAAAGCTTGCATGAGCAAGTCGAAGGTTAAAACGATGATTATGCCATCAAAATTTCTTCCACCAGGGCAAGCTATAAATCAAGTGCCGTGTTCCAACAACCGCCTTGTGCGCCCGATATGTTACCCTGTGACTTCTTTTTGTTCCTTAGAACAAAATCGGTGGTCAAAGGAACTCATATTGAGTCGATTGAGGACATCCAGGCGGCCGTGACGAGGATGCTCGTGGACATACCAGTCGAACAAGGGGACTATTTTGAAGGGGATGGCAGACTTGTAGAATTATTTTGAAATAAACAGTTTTATGGAATCAGGCTCATTATTTGATTGCCACATCTCGTATTATATAAGCTTACTCAGTTTATCAATTTATTCAATTTATTTTAAAAAATTTCCTTCGAAATGTTCAACACAAATATATATCAGTTCTTCATAATCAGAAGCCAAACAGTAATTAGAAGCCAAAAATTTCTAAATGTCAATTCAAAAAGGAGAATCTCTGCTTTTTAATCCACTACCCGAACCGGTACCTTTGTGCACCCGAATACTGGCACTGAAGCAGACTATAACTTCATTATCTTCGTCGACCAAATTTAATTCGATTGTTGCAGGTATTTCTGGATAGTGATTATCGACGTAAAATCGAAAATCATAAACCACATCTTCAGTGGCGTAGAGTGGACAAATGGCTTCATGAAGTAGATTTTCACAAACATCAGCGACATCTTCAGGCAATTCATACGGCACCGTTATACCCAAAGCAGTGGCATATGCTTTCGCATGAGCTTATCAACATTATCCTTTGCTGGAAAATAGTTGCATTTGGAACATTTTTTTTAATGCAAAAAATAAAAAGTTTAAACTATTACTTACTGTTCACGAAATGTAATTTCATAATCGCTGTTTCGCCTTTATAAACACTCAATGTCTACACTTAAAGGCATCGGCTTGCTTGTGTCCTTACCTGGGGAAACAAAAAATAATAATTAAAAAAGAAATCAGATATGTATTTTCGAGTCGATTTTCGCAAGTGAGTAAGATTTATTTAGGATATACTTTGCCTTTTATTAAAATCGGCTAAAAACCGACAGAGTTATTCAAGGTTGAAATACCGAATGTCTGGATGGCGCACTCTGTTGAAGATTTCGCAAGTAAGAAAAGTCGTTGACTGTCAATCAGCTGAGAGTGGCCTTAGACGAGTTTCACGACTTCAAGTCCTGGACTACGTACCCCCTGGGTACTCAAAGCACATTCGTTTGCAGGCGAGCTTAGGGGAAAAAGTATAGAGTTTTGGACTCTCCACTTAAAAAATGTACAGCAATGGAAAATCATACAACAACCACCGGATGAGTTACCTCCCTTTAAACGACCACTCCGAAACGTATTAAGGATTTCGATTTGAAGCTTGCACCTGGAAAGTCCGGTCCCTTAATTGGAAAGAATCTGCCGCCCGGATGGTTGATGTAATCGTACGAATAAGCGTTGGCATTATTAATGGGAAAAATGGGTCCGTAGCCAAGGAACTCAAATTGGATCTTGGAATGTTTGGTGAGGAAGAGACTCCGTCGCCAAATTTTGACATTCACCCCATTTGATTAACATCTAACCTCAATCTGCATGAAAGTGATTTTTGTTTTTCCTCAACAACTCGTTAATTTGCACTCACGCCACCATAGAAGAGAATGGCGATGTGGCCAAAAATGCTTTCTCTGTGTGCCTAGAACGAGCATACGAGCCACGCTGTAAAAACCATATTTCGTGATTTTAACAATGAAGATATCTTCGGCGCAATCATGAAGAAACTTTCCTGAAAAGCGTCCGAAAACTGATCGACAAGCATAACGCTTTAAAATTGTATAAAAAAGATGCGGCGACAAATAGTAGGTTTCAAAACCAGGGCGTGCTCTAGTAGGGACCAATGTAGTAACCTGGTAACCGATGTCCAGAGCATGATGGATTTATGGAGGGCACAATTCTTCAGCCTGCTGAATGGCAGTCAAAATGCAACTCCCAGAGCAGGTGAACCGAAATCACCGTTTATTGATGTAGGAACAAACGTATGGTAAACCGACTGTGATGAAGTTCGAATAGTGACGTTGAAGCCGGTGGCTTAAAATAAGGAAGACAAAACTGGTAATGTGCGTGGCTTAGCTTCTTTGCCCAATATTATCGGGCTAAAGTGTATTGTGTGAAAGATGTAATCCTACTGGGAACGTGCTGAACGGGTCAGTCAATGTGGTCTTAGACGTGGCAAATCTATTTACATCGCCGATTAAACTGACGCTGAACAATTTTAGAAAAAACAGGCAGAAGTGGGAAGGACCTCTCAACTTGTTCGGTTGAAATAATAGAGAGTACAATCGCTGGTGTATGTCGATGATATTGATCTCATTAGTCTAAGCAACCGCGCCTTGAATGCAATTTTCTCCAGGCTGGATAAGGAAGCGAAACATATGGGTCGGGTAGAAAGCGATGGCAAGACGAAATATTTCATATCATCAAACAAACTGTCATCGCATTCGTGACTCGAACCCCTGGTCACTGTTAACAATTATAACTTTGAAGTTGTTTATAATTACGTCTTCAAGCCCATCGGATACGCAATCTTTTTACTCTTTATTTATTTTTTTTCAATAAATAGCACTTAATGCGGATAGGCACATATTTTTATTGAGTTACTCACACTGTTTAACATTTGTTAGGGCGTTCACCGCACAAACGACCATTAATAGAGTGACCAAAAGAATGAAAACCAAATTGTTCCTCATTTTCCAAGAAATCAGAATCGACTCTTCACCACTGATTCTTCCCAACTAAGGTAAAAGGTAGATTTGTGTGAAGTTTTATAGGAACATAGAGTATACATTTAGAAAAAAAATCTAAATAAGAACTAGAAGAAAGATTTTACAATAAAACAAGTGCAAGTTATACCCTACACACATCCCTTCACCAAATGTAA